AGCTAAAAGTCTGAACCAGCAGCTGCCAGAATCAAGAGGTGGCATCTTTTGCACAGAGAGAGTGGGACAAAGAAAGAGCAACAACCAGGGTTAACATGGGTTTGGCTGTTTGACAAGGAGAGGGTTAAAAGCAGACAGAGGACTCAGACTGGATCCAGATGCGGGGTTCTTCCTTCTGGATGTGTTCGCATCTAAAGCTAACCTGTTTGCCACCTAGCAGGGCCAGGATTTTACCTTTGTGTTGAATTAATGTGATTTTAATTTGGGAGGAACTGGAGCTTTGTCTAACATCAGTGCTTTGTGCCACATCAACATTAAACAGAGCTTTCTACTGGACTGACACATTTACTGTTAGCCAGCTAATGTTAGCTTCTGACCAGAGGCTGCAGTTTGTACAGTTTGTCCCAACCAGGCATCTGTAGTTTATGTTGTAGCTAGGAAAGGACAGGGACAGTGCCTGAGGACTGACAGACTTGGGTGGTGGTTCCCATTTTTCACACACTACTCAGCCTCCTTGAGAAATCCAATGCCAGGGTGCTGGAAAGGAGGCTCCAACTGATTGTCGAACCTCAGATTCAGGAGGAACAACTCTTTACTCTTGCAAGAATACTGGAGGGATCTTGGGAGATTGCCCATCCAGACTACATATGCTTTGTGGACTTGGAGAAGGCCTATGACAGGGTCCCTCGTGGGATCTGGTGGGGGGTACTTCGGAAGTATGGAGTACCAGGTATCGTTGGTACGAGCCATCCATTCCTAGTATAAACAGAGTGAGAGCTGTGTCCGTATAGTCAAACACATTCCCAGTTAGTGTTGGCTTTTGTCAGGGTTGTAACTGATCCAGTTTGTGATTTTAATGGACAAGATCTCATGGTACAGATGGGGGGAGGAGAACGTCTGGTTTGGAGACCACAAAATTTCATCTCTGCTATTCACTGATGATGTGGTTTGGCTGGCTTCATGACCTCCAGCATGCACTGGGGCAGTTTGCAGCCGAGTGTGAAGTGATGGGGATGAGAGTTAGCACCTCCAAGTCTGAGGCCATGGTGCTCTGGTGGAAAATGGTGGACTGTTCCCTCTGGGTTGGGAGTGAGTTGCTGCCTCAAGTGAAGGAGTTTAAGTATCTCGAGGTCTTGTTCATGAGTGAGGGTAAATCGAGTGTGAGATTGACAGGCGGATAGGGGCAGCATCAGCAGTAATGCAGACTTTGTACCAGACCATCATGGTGAAGAAGGAGCTGAGCAAAGCTCTCAATTTACCAGTCCATTTATCCAACCCTCACCTATGGTCACAAGCTGTGGGTAGTGACAGAAAGAATAAGATCACAAATGCAAGTGGCTAAAATGAGTTTCCTTTGCAGGGTGACCGGACTTGGCCTTAGAGACAGGGTGTGGAGTTCGGACATCCAGAAGGGGCTCGGAGTAGAGCCACTGGTCCTTCACATCTAAAGAAGCCAGTCGAGGTGGTTCAGGAATCTTATCAGCATGCCTCCAGGGCGCCTCCCTTTGGAGGCCTTCAGGACGTGTGCAGGGTGTATTTATTTATCATTGCACATTGTCTACATTCATGTTTAATTTTGTTCACCTATGCGTAATTATTGTTCATGGATTTAGTGTCAGAATATGGATTCACAATGAGCTGGAGTGCACCTCACCCTCTGTCTCGTCAACACCATCCCACAGCAGCTTTAAGCACAATAACAAATTAATTGTAAAACAACTAAGTTTCCTAAGTTTCTGAGTAAATTGTGGTGTGTGGTTCATAAAGGTAATTAGATGTTTTTGTGGAGACTTATTTTGGAATATTGGATCTCAAATTAGGTTGTTTTAATTAGTTTATCTGTTATTTTCTGGAAACTATTTAGAGATGATATAGATATGAAGATTTATATTGTGTTTATTAGTTTGTTAAGTAGCCAGCTTGGACTTTCAAGTCCTGTTCACGGTAATAATCATGAGTTTATGGTCATGACACATACATTTTACCTAGCCCCACCCAAATATTTTCTTGTTTTAAAGAGAACAATCTTGTTATAAAGAGAACACTTTCTCATTACAAAAGAAACACTGTGCATTTTTTGTTCTCATGGTGGCAGCAGCACACTGCCATATTTTGATCATATCAGTCATCTAGCTGTTGTTTTATGCTGTGACTGTATCATTCAGCTTCACCATCTTATTCATCAGTTCGTTTGCTACCACCTGACTTGTAACATACATAGTTGTATAAATAAAACTACCTTGACTGGGTTTAAAAGACACTTTAGTCAGACTATGCAAAACAGTTTTCATGTTTAAAATAACATCCCGCAGAGAAGAGAAAGTTGAGTTTATGATAAATGTAATTGTCTGAGGGTGATTTAGTGGTGATTGTGTGCTCTGATTTACTGAGATTTCCTAGGCTGCTTCTGTTCAAATACATCTGATAAAAGTCAACAAAGTTTTATGTTCTTATCATAAAACCGCTCAGTGTGATTTTCTGCCTTCTCCACCAGACTGATGTTCAGCACAACAGAAACACCAACAGCTTCACTGCTCCTCATACATGTTTTATCATTAATCATACAATGTTGCTTTGCTCAGTTAAGACACTTATCACAATGTGTTCATTTTGTTACATGGATATGGTTTTGTGGGGGCTTCTGAAAGTCCTGTCCCCTAAAAATGTCTCATCGCTGGCTCTGTTCATCTTTGGTCTGTGCCAAACAAAAGAAATCAACCCAGCTGCTAACTCTGATTTTCAAAGCTGGAAAATAATAATTTTGTCCATTTTGTCCTTGAAAGAAGCTCCAGCTGCAGTTTCCATAGTTCACCCATGTATGAAGCAGGAAGCGCTGACGCCTCGCCCTGTGGCTCTGAAAACGGCTGATGATTGGTTGTCAGCAGCTGTGGCGGCAGCAGATGCTCCGCTTGACAATGACGGGCGATGGACAATGGGAACCAGTATGTCTCTGGGGAACATCTGTCCTCACCGCCGCTGTCAGGAGACCTGGACAGCAGAAAGAAAAGCAGCATTAGGATGGAGGCGGAGCGTCTGAGGCCGCCATGGAGAAAACTCTCTATGTGAAGTGTGTTTGGACTTGGTAAAACAATAAGTATAAAAATAAAACATGACTGTGTCTGCTCCAATACCAGTCTTCAGGATTGACTTGGGACATCTACAGTAGACACTATTCATTGTTACTCTCAACTTTCAGAATACATGGGAACAAATGAATGCCCAATATGCTCAGTGAAAACTAGTTTAGCGCAGGGATCCCAGTAAACTTCACAGGTTAAAATAAAAGCACCAGAAACACAAAAGACAGCAACAATATCAAATAAAACCGAATGTTGTGCATGTTGTGTGTAATTCTGGTTGTGCTCATTAGCTTAAGTGCAGTTAATGTTGATAAAGCGAAGTCTTACTTAGAACACTGTGCATCTGTTCATTAAGAAAAGAGCTTCTCTAATGAAATATATAAAATAATTCACATAAAAGCATGAAGATGAAGTTGTCAGGTGAAGTCTGTCGAGCTGAAACTCCTCCACAGCGGCTCAGTTTGAATCCTCAGCTTAATGTTTTCCTTCTAGCTGGTGTCAGCGAGTGTCTCGACCGAGCCACTCTGCTGGACTTCATTAGAGGAAATGAGCCTCACACAAACCACAGAATTAAAAACCCACACAGTCCTTCATCCAATTAGCACAGAGTCACTGACAAGAGTGGAATTTATAGAACAACATGTCTTTGCATGTTAGAGATACAGGGGGAGGAGGGAACAAGGTAGTGCCTGTGTTGGGGACTATTTATAGCAGCAGATTAATCCCCATTTGGTCTCTACTGAGTATTTCCAGCAGCAGGACGGTGTATGTGGGACTGAGTCAAAAAGAAATACAGTGTGTGTTCATGAAAATGAAGTGCAGCAGTGTGGGTCACTGATGTGTTTTAATAGTTAACAAAGGAGCTTGAGGGCACAGAGCAAGAACATACAGCTGGGTGACAAACTAAAGCACAAACCAGAATATAGACCAGCGAGGCCTCGTCAGGGCCGAGTCTCCAGAGCGATGTCAGGTCTCCTCTGTCGCAGGATGAAACCTCCTCCTTCCAGACCAGATCCCCTCATTGTGTCCGACCCGCTGTGTCCGACCCACTGTGTCGTCCTCATGAAGCCATTCAGTGACCTACAGCTGCAGCCATGAGTCAGTTCACTGGTAGAAAATGAACCTCAGCTATTTAGAAGCAACAGTCACCGACATGTTCTGGTTCCACCTTCTTTAATGTGAGGAGCTGATGCTTTTCTTTGTCAGACATGAGAATCAGCTGAGTCTCTGTGGATCTGTTGGTTGGACACAACAAGACGTGTGGAGACGCCACCTTTGGCTCTGGAGAGTCACAGTGGCACTTTTCCCAGTGTCTGACATTCTGGGGCCAAACAGATCAATCAGATCATCAGGACGATGATCAGCTGATTGATCAGTGATGCTGCTGGTTGGGTTTCGTTTCACTTATCATCCATGGGTTTATCAGGTTTTGGACACAAGCTTTTCATGAGGTTTGTTTACAAGAAGAATAACATTTTAGAGTGTTATGATTTATTAATGGAGCTGCAACTGATAAAATAATATTTTAGCTGAATGATTCATAACCTTTGGTCTTTCTGAGGCTGCACTACACCACACTCTCATGTGACAGCAGCTCCACCCAAGATGCAGCTTTTGTATCTCACAGAGTGGACACGTTCTCCTGAAGACTCTGGGACTGATTAAAAACAAGATGCTCTGGGGACGAGTGGGGCCACTTTCTGTCTGTCCCAGTGAAGGCAGAGCTCTTTGTAATTGCTTCCAGGTGAAGATTCACATGAAGGAGAAGCAGCAGTGGCAGCAGCATCCATGAGCCGCTCACCTCTGAATTATTCATGTCCCACATGTTTGACTGCAGCCGGAATCCTTAAAAAGCCGTAGGAGTCGGACAAAGATGAGCTGGATTACATCGAGAACCATACATCACTCTGAAACAGTATCAACATTCACACTGTCCCTAAACACTCATCTGCTCACAGCTGATTAAACATGGACTTGAGGGTGCGTTTGGAACATTTCAAATGCTACTTAAACTCCTGCAGTCACAGCACATGTGAAGAGTCTTTGCAGAAAAAATGCTGCTGCTGTGATACACTAACCTCACGGCCCAAATTCATTAAGCAACTCACTGTCAGGCTGTTGTGAATAGAACCCAAGTGCAGAGACCAAACAGGAAATGGTTGCTTCAGGAAGAGCACATGGCAAAAGGCCATGAGTGTGTGAGGTCAGCACAAAGACAAAAACATGAATGGGCACTGGCCTAGAGGTCATAATGTGAACCAAGCTGAGCCAATAGGCACTTTCAGGCCAAACAGTTCTGGGGACTTAGTTCTAGAGACTACCCAAATGGGGAGCACCCCCAGGAGCTACACACCTTCATGGGCTTTTTCCTGTTTGCATTCGCTCCGCCAGTCGGAACACTGAAGTAAAGTTATATTAAGCCAAGTGTTAGCGATTAACATTAGGAGCCAGTAACCCTCTACAGAGGCTTCATAGGCAGACTGCAGCTCCTCGTGTTGGTGATGGCTATTGATCGCTGTTGTTTACACGACTAACATGTTTTATTTTTTTAAATGTACATGTACGTAACTCATGGTTCCTACTGTGCTTGGAGCGTACCTCCCCTGAAGAAGGAGCTAAAACAGTCCCTCCAAATGGCCTATTATCATTCTCAGTTCCTGCGGTGCAGACACACAAAAAAGAGGGTCCATCAGTTCTATGAACAGGTCTATGAAAAGCCTCCTGCGGTCCAAACGTGCCCAAACTGGCAACTAGACAGAAGAACCTAAAGGCACATAAAGAGGAGAAGCAGGGGTGGGGCAGGTAGTGATGGTGAGAAAACAGACAAAGGAAGGCCATGAAAGTAAGAGGAGGATGACATATTCATTTAATCACACACTTTTTCTGTATCTATTTATTTTATGGGCATATTTCTTTTACATGTGCAATAATTTATTTATAATTTTTATGCATTGATTGCTATATTTTTTATTTATGCATTTGCTTATTTATTTCAACACTTATTCTTCTATTTGTGTAACCATTTATTTATTCATTTCTGATTTTGTGAACACTGATTCATTTTCTTCAGTCATTTTTCGTCCTCCACATTAAGAGACCCGTCCACTGACTGTTTTCTGTGAATCTCTGGTTGTTTCTTGTGTTTACCTTCGGTTCTTTTTTCTGTTTGTTTAAACACCTGGCTGTGAATTAAAAACTCCCTCCCAGTGGGAGAATGAGGAAGCGACGCATGACAGGTGTTTCGTTCTCATCCTCTTACTATAATTGACCCCACTGGGCTGTCAGGCTTTAGTGAGAGCCAATCAGAGTGCAAGATTAAACTGTGTGGTCACAGCAGGTCATGTGAAACCAACAACAGGAGCCAGGAAGTGAGATCACCTCGTGACATCCAGGTGTTTTGGTTATCGTGTCATCGGTGAGGTTCAGCCAGTTGTTTCAGTCAGAGCTATTTGTGTTTAACTTTAGTGTGTGAAAAGCTGTGCTGACATGTGAGGGGAAAGTCCTTCAGCACAGAGAGGTTTAATTTTGTTATTTAATTTAATTTAGTGAAATAAATGAAACACTAATGTGTCCAAGAAATGTTTTAATGTGTTATTATTTGGTTGTTGTGTGTTTATCAGTGTATGAGATAGTTAATCAGTACTGGAAAGCTGGAAAATGTTATTTTCTATTTCTATACCTCTGCCTAAAAGAAATCCTGTTCCACCCTCAGTGAATGCTGGAGATCTTACATGAACAAAGAAGCGAAGCATTTTTATCCAGTATATCTTGAAGCTATTTCTTAGTGGTTCTGTTTTGGAGCAAAATCAATCGCATCCTGGAAACTAACAAAAAACTAATAACTAACAAAAGCTGTCTTCAGTTTTAAGGGATTTGTGGAAAATAAGACTGCATCCTTTAGGCAGCTTTACAGTTAATAAAACATGTTTGTTGTGTCTCCTTCAGCCTGACAGGTTTGTGTCCTTTGGACATTTTGGAATCTTCGCCAGAACTTAAGATGAAGTGCTGCGAGTTGGAACAACCTGAGTCTGAGATGAACAGGTGTCTTCAGATAGAACTGGAGGGATTGAACCTGCTGAGCAGCTGCAACATTTCATCCCCCAACAGTCATATATGAACATTACAGTCAGTGGAGCAGGCGTGTAATTTGCCATCATCAAGGTATAATCAGGCAGATCTCATTTGTGCTCGCTGCACCTGGAAAGTTCTTTTTTTGTTCTTCCACAGCGTAACTGTCCTAGGATACAGTGTCTGACTTGTCTGCACAGTATGTTTCTGTGTCTTTGTGTGGAGAAGCCTCCTATGTGGCTGACACCTGCAGAGGTACTTTGAATTCATTTTCAGTCACACCAGGAGAAAAAGACAGAGAAGCAAATGACAGTATGCTCAGTCAGACAGAAATTCTATTCTCCTTGGAGAAGACAACTATTATCTTTGAGTGTGATGCAAATTCAGAAAGAGAATACCCTGTAAATTGTTTTTGTAGAACAGGAGAGATGACAGCTGCAGCACATCCTTGCCTTGTTTTCTGTCAATTTGACTGAAATCTCCCTGTAAACACTCTGAGGTAGCAGTGGAGGAGGGATCTGCGTTCCAGTTGGCTACATATCCACCTTCATTAAGCTCCAAACACTAACACGTGTGGACGCTGCTGTTGCTTCCATCCATCCATTATCTATAGTGCTTATCCTAACAAGGACTGGGGGGGCCGGAGCCAATCTCAGCTGACACTGGGCGAGAGGCGGGGTCCACCCTGGACGGGTTGCCAGTTCGTCACAGGGCTGACACTTAGAGAGACACCTACACTCACTCCTACAGGCAGTTTAGAGTCTCCAGTCAACCTAAGCTGCATGTCTTTGGACTGTGGGAGGAAGCCGGAGCACCAGGAGAGAACCCACGCAGGCACAGGGAGAACATGCAGACTACGCACAGGAAACTTCTCGCTGTGAGGTGACAGCGCTAACCACTGCACCACCATGCCGCACCCCAAGGGGCACAATGCATAATGTAACACAAGGTCAAATAACATAACGTAGCACTAACCACTGCGCCGCTGTGCCGCCCTGTTGTTACTTCCACTTCAGCATAATTCACATCAGATCAATAATTGATCAATATCATAGTTGTGGACCAAGCAGTATCAAATAGCAGATGAAAGATAAGTTGTCTCCCAGTCCCACTGACAGAATTGAATCTGTCTGGATAATTTACTGGATCTCTGTTTGGTTCAGCTTTGATATGTATAAAACTAAGACATTTCCACACACACTTGTAAAAGGCCTCAAACTATTGTTCCTAAATATCTCGGCAGTGGCCGTCTTCATTTTGTGTCTCCTTGTAATTGCTTTGTAGCATTTTTATGACTCTTTGTGGTTGTTTTGCATTAGTTTGTAGTCACTGTGGTCTTTTGCAACTCTTTGTGGTAATTCTTCACATGTTGTGTTTTTGCACTAGTTTGGTGACTGTGCAGTTGTTGTGTTTCCCTTTTGGGTCATTCTGCATTTATTTGTAGTCATTTTGTATGTCTTTGTAGTATTTTTGTGTCTTTCTGGAGTTGTGTTCATCAAGTGTTCGCTGAAGGGTTTTTTCTTTGGTTTTCCTTTAATACTGTAAGGTCTTGACCTTGCTATGTAAGGTGCTCTGAGATTGTTGTTGTTGTGAACTGGCTCTATACAAATAAACCAGAATTCAACAGAATTTTGTGTCTCCTGGCAGTTATTCTGTTTATGTGTGTGTCTTTGTTGTTGTTCTGTGTTTCTTTGTGGTTGATTTGAATCTATTTGTAGGTGATTTGGGTCAGTTTGGTCTTTGTGAGTCTTTCTGGAACAGCGGACTGAGCGATGTATAAAGGAGTCCACGTTTTCAAGTGAGAAACCATAATTGAGACAAAGTATATAAAATACAAAAGCCCAAACAGACAACAATCAGATGACAGAAATGAGCTTTGCCATGTTGTCAGTCATACATCAGTTTAAATTACACAACAACAAAGCGTTCAGTTACCAGTGTGTGTGTGTGTGTGTGTGTGTGTGTGTGTGTGTGTGTGTTATCTGCTGTTTCCATGATAAACACTGCAGCTGGGAGTAAACTGGAAAACAGTGTAATTGCTTTCTGATGAATCGTGGCTGGTTGTGAGAAAGAATGAGCTCTGTTTCTATTTATTTCACTTCCCAAGTAAAAACAACCCAGAAATCATCTCATTAATATTGTAACCCTGCAGCTTCTTCAAATATTAAAGCGAGCTATGAGGCCATTTTTAATATCCCCACAGCCTATAGATGTTTAAAATCCTCCTGAGGGATCACAGTCCGGCACCAAAGCACAGGTGAGTGTGAAACTGTTTTAATAAACTTTGAAATCGCTAAGAAGAAACGGTTCTATTTGTATCTTTATCTACTGTGAGAGATGCTGCACCTGGAGCAGGTTAACACACACGACTAAATGGCCTCATCCTGCATCACTGGAATCTGCTTCATCTTCGCTGGCAGCACTTTATTTTACAGTTGTTTCCTCGTAGTCTGGTATTAATTAAAGAAAAAATGAGACAATGCTCTGACGATGTCATTTTACTTAGCTCACTTAGTTGTGTTGAATTTATTACAGATTTAATGGATGGGTGGATGGGTTACTGAACAGGCCTATTGGGCAACGAAAGTCTATCAAATGACTACAGAAAAACACAAAACAAGAAAAACAGCTACAAAGAGTTACAAAACCGTTAAAAAAGACTGACAATGACCCCATACACAGCAAAATGACTACTAAAATGTAGAAGAATGACTACAACAGAGGCAAAGTCACTAAAATTTGTCCCAAAGCAAGTATAAATACATGCAAAACGACCACAGTGAGGTGCAAAAGAAGTAAAAATTAACAAAAAAGGGCTAGAAAGAGACACAAAACAACCACGAGAAGACAGACTGACCACATGTAGCTGACCAATCTGTGAAGTGTAGGAGAGGTAGGGGCCTCATGTGTCTGTGCTCAGGGGCCCATTGTGCCATAATCTGTCCAAGATTTACTAAACCCCAGTGAATAGTCATTACTCATCTGTTTATTTTTGGAAACGCTTTTCTACATTTATGCCAAACTGAACATTTGTCTGTGGACACTCTGTGTAGTCCACCTCCTGCCGTCTGAATAAAGGTCTATAAAAATAGAAAAGTGTGGGTCAACCTTTGAGAGATGTTCAGGATAAAAGCAAGGACATGTTCTTAAACAGTGGATCCCTGTAAGCCTGTAAGCCTCCTCAAGGCTAAGACCATCATTTGTTCCTCCTTTCTTTCTGGCTTTTAATGAACGCTGACTCCTCTCCTGGAGTAAACAGCGGAGTTCCGCGGTGGTTCGCCCGCTCCACCGCTGTGTCTCTCTAATTTAATTTGCTTTACAGAGAGGCAATCAGATCCGCTGTCCTTCATTAGCAGAGGAGCTTGTTAATGTGATGCTCCTTTAAAAAAGCAGATTTTGTTATCTACTATATTCGGTGCTGAGCCAGAGGTGGCAGACAGAACAACACGCCGCCATCTTTCGACCTAATGATGTTGAAGTGCTGCTGCGTGCCAGAGCCTGGGGAGAAGTTCATCAGCTGGAGGACGAGCTCAGAGGGTGGGATTTCCTCTCCCAGCATCCCCAGCTTTCAGTTAGAGTCAGGATCCAGGGTTTAGAGGAAGATAAAATCACCATTCCTTCATTATATCGCACCGTCAGGCCTATTCTAGGATCATTTATGCCTTAAATGTTTTTATTATCTTCACTGAATCAAAATGAACTTTTCATTTAAATAAGGGATTTTAAGAGAATTACTCATGGCTATGTGCATGGAGGCTCTGGTAATTAAGCCATTTTTCTATCACCTTTTGTCCTGAGAACAACCCCTAACTGATGATAACCTTTAATTGCTCCCTTTAACATGGGGATACAACTGTGTAAAAAGCCTCATTAAATCTGCTTTGATTCAGAGTTGTAAAACAAAGTGAAACTTCCAAGGTGGTAAAGGTTTTAACTGGTGAAAAACAAAAAAATATATTTCACAAAAAGAGTTTTAAAAAGGAAGGTACAGTAAATGAACCATTAAAAACAATATCACACCTTTCTTAAGATAAAATAATTTGTTTTTCTGTAAGTGGAGAATGAACAACACTAAAAGAACAAAAGACGCCAAATGTGTTAGATTTAAGGTGGCCTGAAGTGCTGCCGCAGTGTTTCTGTCTGTCTGTGTCCCCAGGAGGCCGAGAGGCAACGCTCCAGTGATCTGACTCTGCTGTCCATCTTTAAAACAACAAGTTCCCAGCGGAGGACAAACCTCTCACTCCAGACGGAGGAGGAGGATTTGAACCATTCTGAGCTGTAACACTCAGCTGCGATTTGACAGGCTCTGTTACACAGAGGATGGACTGGTCTCAGAGTGACCAACTAGAACGCAGCCTGGAAAAACGGAGTAGGGTCGGTGTTTTGGTGCAGGCTCTGCCCGTCAGCTTACAGACACTCAGAGGAAGCTCTTAGTGCCGACAGCAGACGCCCAGGTTCCGTCGTCTTTCTGCAGTAATCTCCTTTCTTAGGTTACATGTAAACTAGAAACCTGACTTCAGTGATCGGCAGAGGATTAGAGAAACCCAATTCCCCACCTAGAGTTCCCCTGGAGAAAGTTGATTTCTTGTCTGTGTATAAACATGACAAAATTTCTAATCCAGTTTTTAACCTGTGAGCTTGTGTAGGACACAGACTGCCATCCAGTTTTATTATTATTGACTGTCCAGTTTTTTTGAATATAAAATATCTGCAGACAGTGAGAAATGCCCATCACAGAGTCCAGGTCGTCTACTAATATCTTGTTTGATCATACCAACAGTCAAAAACCCAAAGAAATTCGGCGGATGATGACCAGATGATGACCGGATGATGATGCACCAAATCACAGGAGAAACTGGAGCCTGAGGTTTTGCCTCATAAATGACTTGATTGACATTATTATCAAAATTGTTACCAAATAATATTCTGATAATTGACTATTCCAGTAGGTGTTTCAGTTCTAGGAACTTCAAAGAAGAGAGTCTTGACTGAAGGTCCACTCACATGACCTAAACGCTGCTGATGCAGAGAATCAGCCTCGTCGGGCCAACGGTCCTCAGTTATTCAGAGAATCACAAAGAATTCAAAGATGATGAAAAGCTGTTTTAAAACTTAACAAATCTTGATTGAGGTTTGGTTGATGTGATGAATATCTGATGTCAAGAGGCTTTTGAAGAACTGCTGCTAATCAGCTTCTGTGAAGAGTGACAGGCGGAGGAGGGAAGACTCATGGGTAGCAATTATTCAATCAACCCGCGCACACAGGCTGTTGTTTTAATAAGGGCCAGCAGCGTCCTCGTTAGAAGATGTTATTATGTTATTAGAAACTGATGTTAAAATTAGATTGTTGATTGGAACTAAACACACAGAGGGCGAGAAGGAAATAATGAAGGGCACCAACTAAAGAACATTTCCAACTTTAAGTATTCTTCTGATTTTTTAAAAACATTTGTCATTTTCTCAGTATTATTTCTGATTGTTCCCACACTTAATTTTTAGGTTTCTATGAGTGTGGTGTGAAACAGGAAGAAAGCACATGAACATTTAGCTCACAGTCACATGTGTGGCGGTTGTAGAAACAGACTTGTATCAGGAGCGTTTTACTCCTGGTGAGTTTTACTCCATCTGTGGATCATCAAAATAAAAATGCCTTATTAAGAAAAGATGGTGCCTTTGTCACCATGAGCCAGAATTAACATTCACTTACTGCGCTGGCGAGTTGGACATAACAGGCACGCATCTGACCAAAAACACAAACACAAAGTACATTTCTGTAATGAGGGTCTGAGCTACAGATGGATCACAGAGCGAGGGCACAGGCCCCGGGACCCATCAGGAGGCTGTTCCTGTAGGAAACCAAGTTATTTGATAAGTGCTCATACGTGAGCAACAATGCACACAACAGTCACAGATGAACAGGCTCAGATTCTCACCGTGGTGGTTTTGACTCGGCCTCCCGGTTGCGTGCAGGTCCAGCCCGACCGATTAACCAGGAGATCACATCCTTCCTCGTCCAAACACGGAGTCATCTCACACCACTGTCGACTCCTGATGATATGAACTGAGGACAAACATGGAGAGGAAACAGGTGAGTTTATTAGTTTCATCTCCATTTTCACTTGAATACATCACTCAGACTCAGTGCTGAGTGACCCACTTCTCCACTTTCACTGTATTATCAATAGATTTCAGTGTTTGTTGCTGTTACTAAATAATATAATGTCAGATAAATGATTTACAGCCCCTCCACTGACCTCTTACTGTTCTCTCTTATCATCCACTTTTCTCATAGCTTGACATTTTCATTGAACTGTTACGACATTATTATCCAGTATTTATATCGATTACTATTCCTGTATAATGTAAAGTCATTTATTCACCTGCATCAGTGAACTAAACAACTAAAATGAGATGGAAAAACAGACAAAAAAGAAACGACAATATCACAGAGTGTTATTGTCAGGGCAGTTTTTAGAAAATTTTGAGAATAAAACTATGTTTCTTGAAAAAGGCAAAACTTTTATGGAGACTGTAATGTTATGATTACAACGTGGTAATATTGATACTGTTTCTTATGAACAAACAATTTTATATCAAAAGAAAACATTTATATTTCTTTAAAGCACTTAAAAATAAAATTGTATAATACAATTGGATTCTAACAGCGGGACATTTCAGCTTAAAATGTGACTTTATTTTGAAAATATTTTTTAAAATTGTATGTATCTTTATCCCTAAACATTACTTTGCACAGAAATAATAACTTTATTTTTGTTTCATTAAAACATTTTATTTTCATTATCAAAATATAACAAAATTTTAACTTTATTCCCATAAATGTACAACGTTTGTCTTTCTAACTGGTTTGTCCCCATTGTCTTTTCTTTAAAGTTATAACTTTATTCTCTGGAAATTACAGGTTTATTCTTGAAATCTCCCCAGAAAATGGAATACACTATGAGTGAACTGAAGTAAAATCAACAGCCAACATCAGAGAACAGCTTCTCTTTACACACCTCCCTTTCATCATATACTCAGCTATTTATAAAGAAATAGGACATTCTCACAATCGCATCTGCATATCGTAGCTCCCTGATTGGCCCACAGAGGCCAGAGGAGGGGGTGATGAAGAGGAGGGGGAGGAGTATCCTGGGTTGTGGACTGTAACTGAGCAGGAAACAGCTAACACGAAACAAACGGAATCACGATAAGGGGAGTGAGAGGTGAAATATCCTGACTTTTAATCTGGCTCAAGCTCCAAAAACACTGGATCCAACATTTCCCATAATGCTACTGGATATGTGAGCCACCCCCTGCCTGGTAAACACCCATGTTCCACACCTACAGTTTGTGATGCAGGCGTTTCGTTATGATTCTGTCGTGTCTGGGCCTCCAGAGCCACAGATTCACAGGATGAGTACTGCAACACACTAATCTGAAGCTTGTGTGTTAAATTGTGGAATGACCCTTTAAGACAATACTGAAATAACCCAGCAACCCTGTCCGACACCCATTTTTGAGTGGGAAGTCGTGTCTCCACTGTGTAAAACTGTTCTCTTTACCTGAGGGATTGTGGGACAGATGTCGACTCTCTAGATAATCACAGTTACTACCAGTTAGTACCGAGGAGGCCAAAGGTCAGAGTGATGAAGCAAATTTTGTTATGATTCTGGATTATACTGTGTGGCACAACTAGGTAAAGAATATACGGGTAATGCATTCAGAAGGAGAAACATCTGACAGTAATTAACAACATCTCATTAAAGATGGTTGCCGGTCTCAGAGGGAGAGTCACAGAAGAAAGTGATGCACCTCATTATAGACAGGAAAGATATGAAGAGGAAGCATCAAACATAAAAGCAACTAATCACAACAGCTTTTCCTGAAGACAATATATGTGATGATCTGAAGCTCGCTGTCAGGATTCTTATGTCAGTTCTGTCATATGATTGTTATGATTAACAAAATTAAGATATCAGATATAAAATATGAAACGGATATGAAAACAGTAGGTGTTGATGGGACTGTTTTTAAAACTCGATACCTGAATGAGAACAGTGATTTGTCTCACAGAGCCTATCTACCAAGAGTTTCACACATTTGAAATGAATTATAATTGCAGCATAAAAGATGTAAGAAGAAATCTGTGTCAAGTGAAGTGCAAAGAATTTTTAAATATGTGTGTATGTTTTAACTTAACATAATATTAGAAGATGCGATGCAACAGGATACAATACAATGAAGCACAAAGCCAGCTGGACCTGAGCCACATATCTGCTCTCTGCCTGGGTGAGGACGGGGTTCAGGATGCTTTGTGTTCAGGGTAGGTTAGGTCTGGAAAATGGTGGTACTTATTGTGGGGCTCTGAAAGTTGATGACAGCATGGCCTGACACCCCCCTCTTTGGGGCCAAATAATGGTTAGACATTATTTAACTTGTACACTGAGCTTCCAAATGAATGCTGACACACAGACACATGTTGACACACACTGTCTGTCCAGCCAATCACCCTGTCTACTTTGCTATTTAAAAATAATTTCTTCACTCGCAGGGATTTCCTGCTGTTTGGGTGACACTTTACTGACCCATCGCTGCAGCCTCACTCATTCCTGATACAAAATTACAACCCGAGCACAGCCCTGGGAAAGATGAAGGAAATGAAAGGCCTGTAATACATAACCAGGTAATCAGTCCTCCCTCTTGAGTGGCACAGCAGTGGTGTGATTGTGAGCCTCCAATTATCAAACCAATTTCCCACTGAACAACAGCAGCTCCTCTCAGCCACGATACTTAATTAAATTCTCGCACAGCTGCACATAATGGAGAGAAAGCTTCTCCAGAATGAGGAAATACTACTCCTTAGTTTATTAAAAAGGATTTTATTTTGAAAATAAGTTTAGGCTGAAATGTATAAATTATAGTGTAAAAGGGAATATCTAGTATTATCCATAGTCAGAAGGGGGGGACATGTTATGTCATGTTATCTAACAAGCTGGTCATGAAGACATCCTGTTAGCAGATGATGGACCACAGGCCATACCTTCATAGACCATGTCCTCTGAAGGATGTGGCCCCCGAACTGAGACTCGGCCTATAAGGACCATTCTTTTACAGCCTTTTACAGTTTAAGGCCAGCTTAACATACAGCTTGTGGACATAGAGACTAGCTGTAAAAAATGGACTTAGAAGCTAATACTAGGCTACCTAGACTTCATATCATATCATTTACATCACAAAGGGTCAGACATATTGTGAATTTCCAATATACATGATACTGCACACTTGGTGAAAATAACTACAAATGTCAATAAAAAGTGGCTGCGATTGTTCCGTCCCTGGTAAATGCATCAACATAAAATCCAATACCAATACATTCAGATCATTTAAGGCGCTGTCCACTCTATGTTTGTGTAATGAACTGCACAAAAGATGCTACTAACACAGCTAATCTAGGCCATTCATCTGGTGTTATTACAATGTCAGTATGCACCATCTTGGAGTATGTGTGAGCATCCAGTGCTGGAATAAGTGGGAATTTTTTTATCCAGTTCCTCCCATTTTCAGGTTTGATTTGTATGGAAACATTTTACCGCCTCTCTACCTGTGGCTCAGAGGTGTAGCTTTGTGGCCCCTCAGATTCCCCCTGAGACCTGATGAAAGGTTTTCAAAAGCAAAGCAGCAGGAAACCCTGGTTTTTTTTTCCTGAGAGGACAATATGTAATCACAGCTCCT